GGGGACCTCAGTGCGGTTGCCATCCTCCAGGTGCGCCTCCCAGTATTATAATTGATCTCCAAACTACAGAGATCAGTTCCCCTGGAGAAAACGGCTGCTTTGGAGGGGGGGCTGTAGGGCATTATACCCTTCTGAGGAACCTCCCCTTCCAAACCCTGCCCTCCTCAAGCTCCACCCCCAAAATCTGCAGGTATTTTCCAACCCTGAGCTGACAGCACTAGACCTCAGTGGGGTCTAATGCCATAGAATCCAGAGATGCCATTTCCCTCCAGGAGAACTAATCTCTGTCATCTGGAGATCAGCTGTAATTCTGGGAGCTCTCCAGGCCTCACCTGGAGTTTGGCAACCCTGCCCCTGGATGACCTTGGACCAAAATAAAATGCCAGTGGCACCTTAAAAGACATTTGTTTCAATGTGAATGCTTGTCACTCTCAGCCTAACCTACTTGACAGTGCTCTTGTAAGGATGAAAAAACCATATCGAATTTGCTTCAAAGTGCTAGTTTTGGCCTTTAAAGCCCTTTATGGTCAGGGTCTGGCATACCTGAGGGACCACCTTTCCCCATATGTTCCCCAGAGAGCACTGTGTTCAGGGGCCCAAAACCGGCTGGCCCTCTCAGGCCCCAAAGATGTCAGGCTGGTGATAACCAGGGCCTTCTCGGTGGTGGCTCCATACTGGTGGAATGAGCTCCCAGAGGAGATCAGGGCCCTGTGGGACATTTTACAGTTCCACAGGGCCTCTAAGACGGAGCTCTTCCACCAGGCTTTCGATTAGGAGCCACCTTAAATACTGAGTGACCCTGTGCCCTGGCTTTACCACCTTCAGCCTGTCTTGCCGCACAAATTAGTCGACCAAACTGAGCGGATATGAGAATACCATCAGGACTATCACCCAAGTAGTGGTATGGTTTAATCTAGGAATCTCTGCTCTTGCACTTTGAGTATTGTTCCAGCACTTTATGAAAATGAATAAGTTGACTGTTTATGGTTGTTTTATGTATGATTTTAACTGTATTTATATATGCATTTTTATGTAAGCCGCCCTGAGCCTTCCATGGCAGGGAGGGCGGGGTATAAATCGAACTGATAAATAAATTAAATAAATAAATGTATGCTATCTTTCCTGGAGGAGGTATAGGTAACCAATAGTTATGTTGGACCAGGGAGATGTGGGTTCAAATTTGTGCTGTGAACTTCACTGGCTGACCTTGAACTCTTCCTCAGCCTAACGCATACCTGGGGGGGGGGATAAATAGGGATATAAATAGCTGTAAGATAAAGGGCCCCATGGAACCCAGGTAGGAGGGCTTCAGTATGCTTGAGACCCTGCAGAGCAGCTGCCAGAATACAACTGGGAGAAGTGAACCTGACATCAGTGTCTTTTAATTCTGGAGAATGAAACAACTTACATGCTCATTGGTGTTGTTTTACTTGGCCTAAGTAAGAGCCATGTGGGGGATTTTCATTTGGAGCAACTTGGCTACCTGCAAACTTAATCTAAAACTGCTTCAGATGGGTCATATGTCTTGTGTGTGTGTGTGTTAGTTTCAGCCTAAGCTGTATTGTCTTTTGTGATTGTGATGGCCTATAAACCGCTTCAGATTCCCCCCCCCAAGAAGTGGTAGAGCCTTAAATAAATGTCAGATGCTTAGTAAAACACAGCATTTGAGAGGCTTCAGATTTCTCATTCTTCTCATTAAAAAGTAGCTGGCTTAGAGCCTACTTGTAGAGCAGTGATGCTGGGCCATCCACAATGAATTCTGCATACTAGAGTCTCCCCTGGCATGCATAAAATATGACTTTGTAAAATAAAAAAAATTCCCATGCCCATACAGAGTCAAAAAGGCCTGATGATGAATGAATATGCTCTAGGAGGGAGGGAATTCTGAGAGCAATGATACCCCGCTGAGGTCTTCCCCTCCCCCAGGCTCCACCCCCAAAATCTCCAGGAATTTCTCAACCCAGAGTTGGAAACCCTATCCTTAACAGCTTATAGTATGGTACTTGGGAGGACTCAGGATAGTGGTCACAACATTGTGGGAAGAAAATTTAACTCTTATCTCCATACCCTTCACTAATTTAAGTGCTCATAGGGGGAAAAACAAGCATAATACAGGTACCTGTCTTTTTAACCACCACCACAGCCATTTCCAATCTGGAAAAGTTCCCCGGTGCCATGGCCCTGCTCCATATCCCCCCTCACCTGCAGCTGCTGTTTTGAGCCAAGCCACACCTGTGGCATTCCAATAATGAATATCAGCATCCCATGCAATTAGATGCTTATTGTTAAAGGCAGATACCTCATTGCCTTGGGTAATACATATTTTAAGTTGGTTTGAAAACAGATGTGAAATGCAGAAATTTGTCAGGAATGTGTTCACCCACCTTCTGTTCAGTGTCTCAGGGGACAGTGGGACATATCACACTGCATAACTAGATACGTTGTATTTTACATTTTCCTCCCCTCCATGGGAATGTGGGTATGGGTAGTCAGATTAGTATCTGAATTTGAAATATAGTTTGTGCCTTACATGTATGTGTCATGTGTCCCCTGCAAAGAGGGTAAAAATAAATATCCCAAATAAATGCATAGGCTTTAGTTTATTCGTTTATTTGATTTCTATCCCGCCCCATTCCCTGCAAGCAGGACTTTGTTATTGCAGATGAGGTAAAATTTGTGTCTGATCCCTGCAACCAGCTGGCTTGAGATGGTAAACTAGAAATAGTCTACCTGCTGTTCCCTCCTGCCCTAAATCAATAAACTTGTTCAGGATGTAGAAGAACAGAGGGTACCAACAGATTAATTTTGGATGCATTAAATTGCACCCCAGTTGCTCTCTCTTGTGTGATTCTTGAAGCTTTTGTCTAAGGTTTTACAGTCTCTTAGTCATGCCTGCCCACGTTCTGGAAGCTTTATGTAGCATTCTTTGTCCTTCAGCTACAGACAACACAGAATGAAATAAGCTGTGTCTCTAAGAAATGAGAGCTGCCTGGGCATTCCTTATTTAGGGCACAAAGTGGCACTCGCTGCTTCTTAAGACTTCTTTTCTAATACAAGAGTTGATCCTTAGCTGGTCTCTATCCACATTGCTCTACAAAAGTCAATAGATAAACACAGATTTATGCTAACTGAGCGTCTAACCCTGGATTTAACAGTCTCTGGGTTTTGTGATAAAGGATTTCTTTGCAGAGGGATTGTATGGAGACATAAGCCTCATTTCTTAATCTTGCTGATGCACATATTCATATTGTTAGAGCCCACTGTACTGTATGCAGTGCTGTAAAGTGGGAAGATTTTTTTATTCTTACAGAGATGTGAGATAGCCCTACAGGGCTCTGGATCCTAGGACAAGTTGCCTTCAAACACCCCCCCAAATGTCATACCCCAGTTTTTACTTTCCATTAATCGATCTTTAATAATGATTTTCCCTCCCCCCAGGTTCCCATGTACAGTCACTAATGCAGATTAGGATCCTCAGTTCATCAATGGTGCATTGAAAAGCTGAAAGAAATTCAGTCCTCTGCCCCTGCCCTCTTTAACCATTCCAGTGGTGAATACATTGGGATACTTAAAGGTACTGGAAAGGTCAATAGTCCACAATAAGTGATTATAATTATTTGCCCATTAGCAAACAATTTAGCTATAAGACACTGATTAAAAATTAATTAACCGACATCCATTGTCACAGTCTCATGTACAACAATCCTGTTCTAACTGCTTTATTTTTATTTTTAAATTTTAGCCTCTGGGATGTCAGAAGCAATCTGTCTAGAAAAAGAAACAAAAAATTAATTAACCAACATCCATTGTAACTGTCTCATGTACAACAATCCTGTTCTAACTGGATAGGATAAGGTTTTATTTACGGCCGAAGCCAGCAGTTAACATTTGAAGTGTTCTAACTGCTTTATTAAAGAGGTTCATTTGAAATTTTTATTTTGTCATCATCTGATGCTGGGAAAGATTGAAGGTCAAAGAAGACGGGGACGGCAAAGGATGAGATGGTTAGACAGTGTCATCGATGCAACGAACATGAAATTGAGCCAACTTCAGAGGACGGCAGAAGACAGGAGGGCCTGGCGGG